ACATCCAGACATCCAGAGAAACATCCAAACATCCAGACATCCAGAGAAACATCCAGACAAACATCCAGACATTTAAATATTCTGTAAAAAATATACATAAAATATAGATAAGTTATCTCGTAAGGTAGAATATTAAATGTTGTATAATTGTGTAATATAAAAAATACAAGATAGTAACAAATCAAGAGGAGTTGGAATGTCATTATCTGGTATATACAGTATATGTACTAGGAAGCACTAACCGCGAAATGCAGATGCGGCATGAAAATGGCAACCAGTAGATATGCAACAACATGTAATTAACAAACTTTAACAGAGGCACTCAAGTTATCGTCAAACTCTCATGTGATTATAGTGCCGATAATTCCACACGACAGCTTAGAAGCAGATTAATATAATACAAATATGACATAATATGTTTTGAACGAGATGCAACAGAATGTATAGTGGAGGTAGATATAGTCAATTTATAACCTATCTTTATACTAAGGCTGACTAAGTAGAAGGTAGTATCACATACATTAATACTTAGTCACTTTTCAACTTGTCACCAGACTATGGCAAGTACGAAAACACGTAGTCTTTCATACGCTCGTAACTGAGTTAGTCGACTCCATGTATCCAAATTGTGGCACTTGCCAGCATAATATAGTGACTCAGACCTTCGACTCCTGGTGGCTTGACAAACGGTTACCAGAGTATGGCAAGGGTGAATGTAACATAGTGAGGCAGCTACTCAGAATAGACTATGGTAACACATTGGAACCAGTCTCGGTCTGAACATACGTGAACATAGTTGGTCAGACGTTCGAGACCAACGTGTGGAAAGAGGTAGTTGCCGGAGTATGTCAAAGAAAGTTCGCCGGGGTCAGGTAAATCTGTTCGACAGAATCGGTTGAGACATGGCTACCAGACTAAGGCGGCTTATAAAAAAGATAGAGGGTGGCAAGTTCGAAACTTACTCGGGTGACATATACTCGCCGCACTAGGTCAGCGCAATCATAACAGAGTAAGGCATACACATTAAAGAGGTTAGGGTACTGCATCATCTGACTCATTGGCGATAATGTTAACAGAAAAGAAATAAGATATGAAAGAGACAATCGTTCAAAAAGGTACATAGGCTTTCATTTACAATATACGTTCGTTTGGGATACACTTGTGTTTCCATTCGTATTTCATTTAAATTGTTCATATGATCGACACAAAAGTTTTCCAATCATATCATCAAGTTAAACGCGTTTATATAAACGAACTAAGAATACTTCATACAATACAATATATTAAACTAAAAACTAATTAAAACAATTCTACATATCTTCATTAACAAGCTTATTCAAATCACTTAATAAACTCATAAGATTAACCCTCTTCTCTAGAGGATAAGTATTTTCTCTAATTTTCCTCTTCAACGTCGTACGAACCGTTGCAAGTTCATCAGCCAAATCGTCTATATCCAATACACTGCCTACACCAAGTAAATTATGATCTTCGTAATCTAAAGGCTTAAGTGGAGCAAATTCATTTGATACATCATCGGCTGTAACATTTCTAATTGGGAATTTAGCTAGTGAATCTGGTAAATCTTTCACATCCATTAACTGATGAACATATTGGTTGTGAAAATAAAGCATATGTGTACCAGCTACTAGATTATAAGTTTCACTATTTTCATGCTCAGATTCAATGATCTTGCGTAAAATATGTTCACACCAAGAATGGAAAGGGTATTCTCTCTTACAGGGACATTGATATTGATACTTTCCAGTTTTCTTAACTATAATCGATGGATCATCTCCATGTAATATAATGCTATGGGATTGAGAATGGTCATCTTGTGAAAGTCTTTCTTCAGAACTTTCAAAAAGCAATGTCAATTGTTTCCATATATAGTATTCAACTGTGGAAAAAAACCGAGGTTCTATATCACTTACAACCTTAGATTCAATTCCATTTATATAATCCAGATACTCAGAAAGAGCTTCAAGAAGGTTTTCAAAATATTTCCATTCGAACTGACCAATATAATTCTTTCTAAGGACTGAATGAAAATGTTTGACAACATCATTAGATTCAAGTGGTAGCTTTATATATGACAGTTGCCAATGATGCTTCATTCCATACCATGCATCTAGAGTTTTCTGCCATTTTCTTGAAGGAAGGAACAAACTCTTTATAGAACGCCATTCATCCTCAAATTGATCTTTGTCCATAATTGATAAACTGCGAAAAAACCGAGAAAGGAATTCAATATCTGATATCAGTCGAACACTTCCATTAACTAACCATGTTTTACAAAGAATTTCATTGATGGAGAGTGGACATAAGCGTACTTCATGACTAGGGTAATATTTTTTTATAGAATCAAACAAATGGAAATCACAATCTATGACAAATCCCCTTGCTTTGGATAAATAGTCTTTAGATGTATCAAAGAAGTAATCCAATGCTTCATCTGATCTTAAGTTTGTCACCATCAAAACATTCGGAGATTCTAAACCAGTAACACTTGAACGTGATATTACGCTCGTCAATGTAATTGTACCATCGTAATCCTTCTGTTTCAATTGGGGAACAATATCTATAGCTAATCCGTCAGTTGAAGCAACGTGTAACACATCACCGTCTTCAGCACGTGAATTGAAAAGAACAATACACCAATTCTGATGCCCATAGGAAGTTTCCTTTGAAAATACCTTGTATTTCGTTTCTAAAAACGCAGATTGCGAATTTTGAAATTGCCTTAATATTTCCAAATGAGAATCTTGATTAAGTCTATAATAAACACTTTTGTAGATAAGGTTGATCAGTGTATTACAGCTATCAAAATATTTCACCTTACTCTTCTCCAATCTTGAACAATAATCTTCCTTTATGTTATCCCATTGCAAACTTTTATAATGACGAAGTATATACTTCTGTATGTTAAGTGATTCTTCCAGTTTATTAAAGTAATCATTTGTGACACAATCGTGACTATGATTATAATGCCATTCTAATTCCGGTCTAATCTTATTCAGAAATCTTATATAGGCAGGACATTGCCGTCTCTGGATTTTGCAATTGAACACATTTGACTTTTTACCATTTGAATACCAGAGCAGAATGCTTTGAATAGTCTCAAATACAAATTGTATTCTGCTACCGCTGTACCTATAAATAAAGGTAACTGGATCGAATTCAAACCCTGGTAATATACTAACAATATCGTAAAACTTTTGACATGGGACATATGTAAGTGGGGTAGGATCAGTTTGATTTGGAGCTTGATTTGTGGCATCTACTTGAGTGGAATCAACATGAGTTGCAACTTCTCCTGAAACTTCTACTTGAGTGGAATCAACTTGTGTGGGAACTTCTCCTGATACTTCTACTTGAGTGGAATCAACTTGTGTGGGAACTTCTCCTGATACCTCTACTTGAGTGGAATCAACTTGTGTGGGAACTTCTCCTGATACCTCTACTTGAGTGGAATCAACTTGTGTGGGAACTTCTCCTGATACCTCTACTTGAGTGGAATCAACTTGTGTGGGAACTTCTCCTGATACCTCTACTTGAGTGGAATCAACTTGTGTGGGAACTTCTCCTGATACCTCTACTTGAGTGGAATCAACTTGTGTGGGAACTTCTCCTGATACCTCTACTTGAG